GACATTTTTCTGCATTATTGGTTTCAGCAGTGTGATTGGACATTTTCTTGCCTTTTTGGTTTCAGCAGTGTGATTGGTCATTTTCCTGCATTTTTGGTTTCAGCAGTGTGATTGGACATTTTTCTGCATTATTGGTTTCAGCTGTGTGATTGGACATTTTCTACATTGTTGGTTTCAGCAGTGTGATTGGACATTTTCTACATTGTTGGTTCCAGCAGTGTGATTGGACATTTTCTACATTTTTGGTTTCAGCAGTGTGATTGGACATTTTCTACATTGTTGGTTTCAGCAGTGTAATTGGACATTTTCTACATTGTCGGTTTCAGCAGTGTGATTGGACATTTTTCTGCATTATTGGTTTCAGCAGTGTGATTGGTCATTTTTCTGCATTGTTAGTTTCAGCAGTGTGATTGGTCATTTTCCTGCATTTTTGGTTTCAGCAGTGTGATTGGACATTTTCTACATCGTTGGTTTCAGCACTGTGATTGGACATTTTTCTGCATTATTGGTTTCAGCAGTGTGATTGGACATTTTCCTGCATTTTTGGTTTCAGCAGTGTGATTGGTCATTTTCCTGCATGTTTGGTTTCAGCAGTGTGATTGGTCATTTTTACATTGATGGATTCTGCAGTGTGATTTGTCATTTTTCTGCGTTGTCAGTTTCGACAGTGTGATTGGTTATTTTCTAGCATTTTTAGTTTCAGCAGTGTGATTGGTCATTTCCCTGCATTTTTAGTTACAGCCGATTTGTTAGTGTACAGTGCATTCAGAATAGTTGTTCCAATATATATTCGTAAACACAAAATATTTATAAAATTGAAATCTACAGTTGACCATTCAAAAAGGGATGTCCCAGTCTGTGCATGTGCAGCAGGAGTCCATCAATTGACATATATGTATTGATCAGAATCTGATTGTCTTTGTGACACACCCTGAACACTGTGCAAATTAGGTTAGCCAATACAGCTCCATCAATTAGACTTGAAGAATAGTTCAATAAATTTTCTATAAATTGCTTTTCTGACAGCATTGTATTCCCTCCAGCGAGAAAGTAAAATAAATCACAGATTCAGCTTATTTCAAAATGTGCAAATAACTTTAATCATGTCCATTACATACTACAATGTAAATCCTGGCAGATCAGACTGAGTAAGGACTATTGTGGGCAAATATAAGAATTATGCTTGAACTGAGAATTGGAATTTCGCTTGTAATAATGTACAAAATGCATAGAAATAAATAAGTGACAGATTTGTTACGAAAAATGATATTAAAATAATACGCGAGTGTGTGAGATATTTGTCAAACAATATAATACTTGTATTACATGCCTCTTGGCTGATATACCATGCATTTAAATTTAATCCCCAAAACACTCACAGCAAAAATTTTTTCTGCACATCCTGTCCATCAGTTGGATAGATGGTGGGATGGAAATTATCATGTCATGTGACAGCTGAACAGGATTTATTCGTTACTTTTTGACATTGACGTGTTCATACGGACACTGTAAGACAAACATACATGATAGATGAATGAGAGTCTGTACAAGATATGAATAGAGGTTGAATTGTGAGATTATTCTTAACCTTTTCAACTACCAGACTTTCTCACCCAAATTTGTCTGCTCATTTTCTTATATTCTTCAATATTTCTGGAAATGCACCCTAATCTTGGAGCCAACAAAAAAAAATTGAGTAAATTTTTTAATATGTATTTTTCAATTTTTTTTTCAATTTTGTAGCAAATAGACATCAATTTCTATTGACTACAAATCTTGATCAAAATTTTAAAACAAAAATTAAACAAAGGTTGACTTTGGCTCCCAAAACTTTAATGTACAAAATAAAAGCATACACTTAATAACTAAAGATACATAATTGCCCCCATTATAACAGAGTGATTATCACAAACTGACCAACGTTAGCATACAGATATTAAAAACTTGATAAGAGTACTCACATGACGACATCCACTACCACAGCAAGTACCTCTATTGAGGTGTGCAACTCTTGTAAATACTGTGTAACCAGTTTTAGGGTCTGTATACGTCGCTTGGTTTTTCTGTAAAATAGAAGTAATATTATATCAATTGGATACATTAAAGTTGTTATGTGTTTAAATTTATTCAGTAAGCTCAAAATGTCAAAGTGGATTCACATGATGTGGTCAAACATTTTTTTTTTAGTGAAACCATGCAAAAATACATCTTTATAATATAGATATTTGTAAAACATGTTTTTGATTCAGTCAAGAAAACTGTTGAAAATAACTACAGGGTTAGAAAGAAAGTTTCGAAATTTATGAAGATTATGGAGAAACGTCGATATTTCATTCTAGTATTATTGCTCATAATGCTTTTATTAGAGTTACTAGTAAGAAAATATCTAATTAATATGCCTTTCAAGTAATCATCCAGTCTGAGAATGCTGAGTTTGAACTGAAGGTTTTTGAATGTAATAAAATCATGCATTGAGCACATATCGGCCAATAAAATAAAGCTGTTAATTTTAAGCATTTACCCGGTATTTATTTTAGTTATTTATATGTAATATAATTCTATTCAACAAGAACTTTTTAAAAAACAAACATATATATGTATTTTTGTTTTATATATTTGACTTATTTTGTTGATTGTTTACTGGTAGTTTTTGATGATCGCAAAAGGCAAACAAGATGATAGATAAAAATAAAAAAAAGTATCTAGTAAAAACAACAAATTACAAAATATTAAAAAATATAGTAAAAAAATAAAAGTATATATTATAAAAAAAAATATACGCCATACAATAATAGGATTTTAATCAAATTGACAACATCTGACTTGGAAATCAATTTCAAAGAAAGATATCCCCTTCTAGTGCAACTAATTTTGAAACAGTCCATCTATGTATGTTGATCTGCAACTGATGTTGGGATTTTTGGGTTGGCATACTGGATATCATGTTCCTTACATATTTCGTCTATTTCGTCTTTGGCCTTTTTATATTCATTTAGGTCAGTCCCAGGGCCACAATATTCGTATCCCGGAAATGAAAATTTAAACATTATAACCTACCTATGTGTGTGCGTGTAAAAGTAATGAAACTGTTGTATGAGTTTATAACATTTAATTAACACTTAATTGATCAATAATAGTGAACATCAAAGGCTTTGTAAAAAAATGATATGTAAATAGTAAATAGATTAACATAGGTAACTGGTTTCTAAAACAAGTACTAATTAAACCGAACAAGTATAAATGAGTCATTGGATTATTATAACATCGAAAAATTATTTGTTCAATTATCAACTTCATCATATCCAAGCGTTGCTGTTTCTCTTTCTGATGTGTATCTTTGGCAGTTTTCGTCATTCGACACTTGAACCACTTTATCTGTAATCAGAGATGAAGATTTTCCATCATAATGGTTATTGTATCTGTAAAGGTAAATGATATTGTTGTTATTAACACAAGTTATTTTCGTTTTCGTGTTAAAATCATGTTTTTACCTGGTGTTCTTACAATCTCCCATGTGTGGTCATTGTCCTCATCTATGATCTCTCCGTCAACATATAAATCAGCTGGTATTGGTTTAGGCGGGAAGTCCGCAAAAACATCAGGATTAGGTTTCAATATTAAATTCCCATCTGTAGTGTTGAAATTTTGGCAACCCCATATTTTCTTCTCTTCAAAGATTTGGTTATCATATGTGATGGGAAGTAGTGTATCCAAAATATGCAACGACTTGCACCCTTGAATTCTCAAGTATAGTAAGGTATGGGAAGTAGTATCATTGACCACATGATGACAAAGTGGTTGATGGTGAAACAGTTTCGCATTCTTCGCCTCTGTCGGTATAACTGGTAGCAGCGTGTTCATTAAGGTGTATTGTGGCTTGCGATATATGACGGTCCCGTACCCCCACAGTCTGTCTGTATAATCAATATAGCCTCAACAATTTTCAGCCGCGTGTCTTTAGTCTGTGATGTTAAGTACTTCGCAGGCCACATTGTGCACGTCCTCCAGTCTTGAATATTATCCTGTTCGATCTTCAGTTTTTCAATTCTTTCTATGTCAGCCAATCGCTCCATTAGATTACCATAGTAGATTGCGCTCTTTCGGTCACGCGCTATTGTGAGCTCTATTATGCCCCATTGAGGTTTAGGCTTCCATATCGATTGTGGTATACTCTCGGTCTTATGCATGTGCACCATAGCGTTATAGTGCTGGTCTTCTATGGTAAAATTCTGAGTGTTCAATCAAATTGAATAGGTCTTCACAACTCTTCCACTCGTCCTGGATTTTGTTCAGTTCCGTGAAATCGACATAGGGCTTATCCTCCTCTTCAAATAACTGGAAATAGCGTTTTACCGAATGCTCTTGTCTTGTTGGTAGATTACGTTTACTGATAGGTTTTATTTTTGGTTCTTTAAACAGAGCTTTGATTTCTTCTTCTTCCTTTGTTTCCCACTCTTGTATCATCTTTGCAGTTTCTTTCATATATTCGTCAATTTGTCTTGGTGCCATTCTGTTACTTGGTTTTTTCTTTATATGAACCCATTTACTTCCTCTCCATAGTTTATCGAGTTTTTCTACCATGTCGTTTTCTAAGGGCCAGTCGATGTCCTCAGGGCTTCGTATCCCCATTTATCATATCAAGTAACCATGAAAACATCAGTGGATTTAGGTCTTGTTGTATATACTCGAGCTCGGGCATCTCTACGATGTCATCTTTAACCAATAGCATTCTATTTCGAAAAGCTTTTTCCTGCGAGGAGACTTGGTACCACAAGTTTCGGTTTGCTGTTATGTATATGGGCGTTCTTTCGAGAAGACACGGTGACTTTCCTTTTCGATTTATCATTGTTTGCATGCCTTCAAAAACAGATTTCGCCATTTCTGCATTGTGTTCGCTAAGCACGAATTCATTAGCCATGGCGACTCTGGCACTTAAACAATTTTCAAACATAAAATTGGAGGCACTTTCATTAGAGGTGATAATATTTCCCCAGAAGCGAGCAACATGATGAATCGGCCGCATCACCCAGGATTTGCCTCCGTTTGAGGCCCCCATCAGATAGATAATGTTTTTTTTTGGCTGCTTCTTATCAAACCAAACTATGATGTCATACAAAAAGTCAAACATGTTCAGCCCTTGGTGGTCACACCACTTGGTATACCATACAATAGAATCTTCGATTGATAAATAGTTGTCTCTGTTATCATATTTCATTGTGGTGCGATTAGCTATAGTTCTTAATGAAAATGCCAACTCACCGAATTCTTTCTTCAACAGTTCTGATCGTACGGTGTCAACGGCAGTCTTGTAGAGGTATTCGGAAACGCTTCTACTGATGAAACGATGCCACTTGTCCTTTGTTTCATTTGTTGCTGCAGGATCTTCAGTAACCAGGCGTCCTAAATTGGGGAGATCAGTCGGGTTATATTGATGTATCAAATCCTTCACAAAGTAGAGCATCTCCTCATTCGTGCTTCTTTTTACGGCACGCTCTTTCCTTTTCTCTTCCATCGCCGCGATATCGTCTACGGTCGTATTATGGATCAACAATTTCTCCAACGGAGTCTTGTTTTTAGTGTATAACCATTTTTTTTCTTTACTCGGTCCTTGTATGTATGCCGCGAAAGACGTAGGCACCTTGCAGATCTGACTAATGATGTGAAAGTTCGGCTCGTTATCTTCCCATGATAATTTCGCCTGTCTAAATGCTGCAAGCTGTCTAACGTCTGAATCGTTGCCGGTGGTTGCTATGATGTGCATATGTGGACCGCGATATTGACTGCAGGGGTCGGTGATACCGTCATGATAAGCCCCGTAGCTATCCACTCCTTTAACCTCTAAATACTGAAATAGTAGATCAGTAGCACGCATCAGTTCGGAATTCAGGTTCACCATCCCGATGTCTTGTTTTTCTGGGACGACACGGAACTTCGTTATGAATATTATATACTTCGTTTTCGGTTCTTCAGTCCTGGGCTGTAACCAGTTTTTTTCATGTTGAGACACTGCTGTACTTGTTGAAGCATCACCGAGGTAGCTCTTGGCTTTGACAAAGCGGTTGTACGACATCGTAGTACGTAGATTTGCGAATTTGCGAGAGAGAATTTACTTACGTGTTGACGTGTTGAAATCCAGCGGGTAACTGACAATCTACTTCAAATCATTCCATCTCACGCGCGTCGAACGTCGCGCGGGTATAAAAATAGAGCGTGCGTCATTGGGTAATTCCATTGATCACGCGTACGCTGTGTGCGCTTTGCGTGTTCTTTATTTCTTGCTGTGTCATAAACCTTGGCACAGTGCCAATAAAAAAAAAAAGCCCATAGAGGACCTCATTCCATGGTTGTTAACAACAACCGTTGCTAATATTATTCCCACCTTGTTTTTCCTCATATACTGACGTCACACATCCGGCTCTTTAGTGTGATGTCTCTTTTTTATAAAAACCCACGGTTGTTGTTGAAATCAAGTGAGGTCACACTGCTCGTGCAGGAAATCGGGCGCTGGCGCCCGATTTCTTAGTGACCTCACATACAACATACAATTTTCTCAGTACTTATTTACTGTTAAAATGCTGTACCATTACTTTCACCATCCTACTACAGCCAGATCTGAAGGCCTTTGCCGCATTCTGGCCATGCTGTGTGGCGCGTATCGCGTGGACGGGTTTCACGTTCTCTGCACGTAATAAGCTCGGTTATTAAGCATCCTTTTTGGGGGATGCCCGGTGGCCGAGGGGAAGACGTGTAGTGGCGTGAAGCTAGGCGATTAGGTGCCGTACGCGAGCGCCGGTTCGAGTCACGCACGCAGTACGTATTTACTATAATTAGACATAGTCTTTACCTTGCCGTTTATTCGGTGTTATTTGCTTACTCTACTTCCTATGTCGACA